GCTGTGCCCCTCGGTACCCGGCATCCTGCTCACATCCTGCTCTCCCTTCAGGTGCAGCCTCCTGACCCAGCCAGCATCCGTGTGCTGCGGGGACATCAGCTGCCCGTCACCTGCCTGGTCATTTCTCCAGACGACAGGTTCATCTTTTCCGCTTCCAAGGACGGCTCCCTCATCAAATGCAAGTGTTCCCTTGTGACTGGCTCTGGTCCCAGCCTGTACCCAGCAGCAGGGCCGTGGGTGCCCGGGGGGGTGGCTTGGCACCTGGCCCCTCTGGGGACGTGCACACGCGTTGCTTGGAGCTCTGTGGGAAGCTCGTTGGTGCTTTCTGGAGTGCTGGGAGGCTCCCAGGGGCTGACGGTGACGCCCTTCCCACAGGGGATGTGGAGAGCGGGAAGAGGCTGTGTGTGGTCCCTGGAGGGAAGAAAGTCAGCGAGGAGCGGCACATGGGGCACGTGTCCCAAGTCCTCTGCATGGCCATCTCGTCAGATGGCAAGTACCTGGTATGGGGAGAGGGTGCTCACACCTCTGTGTGGGGTGGAGAGATAGCTGTGGGGAGCGCGTCTTCTCCTAGGGAGCTGTGTCTCGTCTCCAGATGTACCTCACTGGGTTAAAGTAGCTCTGGGACAAGAATGGCTCCTTGGGACCAATACAGCACGTGGGGTGGGAGTGGAGGCGGGGGGGCCGCGTGTCCCCGAGGGGCAGGTCTTGGGCATCCCCTGCTCTCTGCCAGGCCACGGGAGACAGGAACAAGCTGATCATGATCTGGGACGCAGCCACCTGCAAGCGCCTGCACATCTTCACCGGGCACCGCGATACCGTCTCGGTAAGTCAGGGGAATCGGCCACGGTGCCTGAAGGGCCGGGCAGCTGCATCCTCCTCAGAGCTCCTCGCTGCCGTGCCCACGTCCGTCCATTCCCCCCGCAGGGCCTGTCCTTCCAGAAGGGCACACACCAGCTGTACAGCGCTTCCCACGACCGCTGCGTCAAGGTCTGGAACGTGGCAGAGAACGCATACGTGGAAACCTTGTAAGAGCTGTGAGGGGCCCCCGCTGACACAGCCACCATGGGATGCCCTGGCTTGCCACAGCTCTTTGCCATCTGCTTCTCCAGGTTCGGGCACCAGGACATCATCACGGGGCTGGACAGCCTGAGCCGGGAGTGCTGTGTGACGTCGGGGGGACGGGACTGCACCGTGCGGCTCTGGAAGATCCCGGAGGAGTCACAGCTCGTGTTTTGCGGGCACCAGTAGGTCTGGGGTGGGAGAGGGGACAGTGGGTAGCTGTGTCCCACCTGGGCAGTGATGTGCAGGTGCCAAGCATCACCAGGAGCTGGCTGGCACCCTGGGGCTGCTGATGTCCCGGTAAGCCCTTGTCTCCTAGATAGGATCCCAAAGCACACTGATAGCTGATGGCAGTTGTCCCTTCTTGTCACAGGGGCTCCATTGACTGCATCCAGCTCATCAACGAGGAGCACATGGTGTCAGGTGCCGATGACGGGTGAGCACAGGGCCGGGACGGTGTCCAGGGTTGCGGGGTGGTGCCCCCTCAGCCCCCTCACCGCTCCCCACCCCGTCAGGTCCGTAGCGCTGTGGGGGCTGACACGGAAGAAGCCGCTGGCATTGGCCCGGCAGGCGCACGGAATGCAGGACGCCCAGGGCCTCCAGCAGCCCTACTGGATCTCGGCGGTGGCCGCCCTGCGCAACAGTGACCTCCTGGCTACAGGTGCGTGTGGCAGCCACTCTGGAGCACGGGTGCAGAGGGGGCCCATCCTGCGCCCTTCCTCAGGTCGTGGTGCATGGCAGTCTCCTCTCTCTGCCCCAGGCTCCCACAGTGGCACTGTGAAACTCTGGAAGTGCAGTGAGGGTTTTCGGAAGCTGGAGCCCCTCTGGGACATCCCCTTGGTATGGATGGGGAGAGGTCGGGGGTGCTGGAGCAGGGCTCTCTTTGTAGGGCCTCCCCTTTCTGGGTAGCAGGAGGAGGCTGTGGGAGCTCCTCATTCCTGCCCTGTCCCCTCCAGGTGGGTTTTGTCAACAGTCTCAAGTTCTCAACAGCTGGTGACTTCCTGGTGGCAGGCATCGGGCAGGAGCACCGGTAGTGTCCCCCTTCCCCCACACTGCCTGGTGGTGCAGTCCCCCCTTCTCTGGGGGCTGGCACAGGGTGACACCCGTCTCTCTTATCTACAGTCTCGGCCGGTGGTGGAGACTCAAAGAAGCCAAAAACAGCATCTGCATCATCCCCCTGAAACAGAGAGCAGCACCCCCCAGCCCCAAAGCCCCTGACAGCTCCTAGCACCCTGGCCC